CCGTCCTTCCTCCCCAGCAGGCAGAGTGTCCTGCAGGGAGCAGAGACCGTCAGTCTCGCACCCCAACCACAGGACAAAATAATGAAAGGGGAGACAGCTGGTCCCCCTCTCCACCAGCAGAGAGAGTGTCAGGGAGAGGAGCCTGATACCCCTTCTCCCCAGCGGCAATTTACAGTTCAGAGAGAGGAGCTTGTTACACCCTCTCTCCAGCGGCAGCCTAACCCAGCAAGGGGAGATGTTACACCCCCCAACAGTGCAGATGGGACTGTAGTCTCTGCACTTACAGCACAAGGGGTAGGGACAGTCGGTCCTGTTCCCCAGCCACAGAGCAGTGTATCCAGAGGGGAGACAGTCGGTCTCTCCCTCCCACAACCAGGCTCCCACCAGGCTACTTCCGTGGTAACACTGGCATCAGGGCAGAGTACCGCTGGTCTCTGCCCACTCAGCAACCCACCAAGGCAGCCTAACAGTTGCCCACACAGTCGTGGTGAGGCACCTGGACATAGACAAGATTCTCCTCTACCCAGAGTGTAACCGAATTGTGTAGGTAGGCTGTACCTACTTTCTATTTCTATTTTGTAGGTAGGTTGCTGGACTACCAAACACTGACCGGCAGAGTCAGATACCCTATTATTAGTCTAGTTGGTAAAAGAGGGAGAAGTGTGGCGAAAAACCAACCTACGCCACTGTGTGAACTGGAGAAACGCCTGGATTGCTCGCGCCTGCTCACTTTGGACTACTTGGCCCCTGGGGATTTAAACCATTTGGCTTCCCCTGCAGAAAGGCTTATTTGTGTGATCTGAGTGCCATTCATCTAATAATGTGCACTCAGATCCCAGCTATCTGAGGATATGTGAAATGTCTGTGTGTTATGTGTAAATGTGACTTTATGTATTTTAAAGTGTTTTGTGTCTTTTTGCAACCATGTGCTTAATGGAGTCTTGTGTCTGTCCTGGGAGATAATTGAATTACTTATCTCCAGGATAGAAGACTCTGAAACTGGTTTGGGCCAGAAAGCCATGCTTCATTTAGTCACAAAGGACTTTTTACTAACTTTTGAACCCCTTGTCTGATTTGTGCATTTTTGAATATGTTGTTCCCCTGAATGGATTGATTGAGAATATGTAATTTTATGTGAATGTGATGTATGGTTTTGGAGTTATGAAAGTTGGGTAGAAAGTATGTTTAACTGTATGTATAATTGAGTTTCCTCTCAGGATAAGGGGAGGGAATATGTGGGATGTAACTGTGATGTGATTGGTTGTTTTATACCTCCCTGTGGGCGGTCCTGTATGTGAAAGGCTGTAATAAAAACCAGGCTGGGTGTGCCAGCACCTGAGTTCCTGCTTAACCCTCAAAGTGAAGTGTCGTCTCATTATTGGGGGAAGGATTCATTGTATGCTGTTCCAGTTTGACTGCTAGGAGAGTAAACCTATTCGTATGGTGCCTATTCAACTGTCTACAGCATTCATATGCTTGAGAGAAGGTATACGCTTCTCTGGTTCGGTGATTGTGGTGTCTGCTGCAGTGCTTGGAGTCCTCAGGAAGCGCTAGGAGCATCTTTCAACGGAGGTACCCAGTCGGGGTGCCAGGCGATCCGTTACAATGACTAAGGTAACATTATCAAACTATTACCTACAGTAGCGATAACCTATTCTTCTCAGTGCAAGATATTAAACGGAGGCATTAAGTTGTGAAATGTCTGTATAAGCCCTACTCTATAAATAGGATTGGGAGAAATGGGACATGATTACAGGCAGTATGCCAAAATTGACATAAAGTGGGAGGTAAATCTAAAAAGAAGTCACAAATTACTAGGGAATTTGCCTGACCAAAAAAAGTGAGGGAGTCTATTAGGGTGTTTCAGAGACCCTTCTAAATTCATTTAACCCCCATGATGTTGTCCTTTAAGCAACTGTAGGGGGAAAGGCTAATCGGAAGAGTAAAGTCAGGTTTCATTTAAAACAATGTAAAAGTAAACCTACAGTTCAGAAGGATTGAGTTATTAGGAAATACCATAGCAGATGTGAACCAAAGCCATATTTTCATTTGGAGCACACACTCATGAACATCTAACCAAGGTGGCATAAAATTCCTGACAATATTATTTACTAAACTGAGAGTTAAAGGCAAATTTTAAATGTAAGGTCAAAATAGCTCAACTGGAAAAAATATCTATGTCAGCTGTGCTTTCAATTCAGCTACTATGGTTTAAATGTGAAATACACTTGATTCACCTTGAAGTCTCACTTTAGTAAATAAACCTGTACATGTTTTAAGTCCTTCCAGTGACAGCTATTGAGACAATGTTATTCATTCTATCATTATAAAGTTTATTCATGCTCAGTGAATATTCACAAATTTCACATATTTGCTCAGTGAATATTCACACATTTCACATATTAACAGAATTATGTGTGCAGGTTGGACGTGGGCTGCAGCAAAGTCTAGAGCAGGGCCTGTTCCCCTATGCTCTGTGTGCAGCGATGTAAATCTCAGTCGCACTCCCACGAGATGTCAACATATCTTGCAGGAGCATGGCTGAAAATCACATGAACGCACATAAGGAAGCATAGCAGAGATTCATCAGCATCCAGCCAGAGTCAGAGAAGCCAGCATAACCAAGATAATGCAGGCAAAGTGAAAAAAAGTTGGACAATGTGCCATGTGTGGACAATGTGCCATTGATGATCATGTGTGCATAATTAAATTGAGGCAATGAGGCAAGTGTGGGCAGTGTTGCATGTGTGAGATAATAAAATGGAGGCAAACTGAAATATATGTAGGCAATGCGGTATGTGGACAATGAGGCATGAGGGCATAATTAAATGTAGGCAATATGGTAAGTGGTCATAGTGGCATGATCTGGGCATAACAAAATGGAGCCAACTGATGTAGACAATGTTGCATGTGGGCAATGTGGAATATGGGTATAATAATATAGCTTGCACTGGTACTTGCAATGAAATATAGCAATGCAGTTTGATTAGCCATGAGAGAGAGGCCATGACAAAATTATCTTGAAACAATTTCAAGTTTACATTTGCACAAGCATTCAGAGCGCAAATACTTTTGTAACAGGAAAAAAATAACATCATATTGCTGCAAACACCAACTACTAAAAATTAGAGGGAACATTACCAAATAAATCTAGTGGAAACTACTGCCACTTCAAAAACTATTTAAATGCAAAGTGACTCAATCCCCTCATGATTTTCCAAATCTGTCTACAATAAATGGAAATCCGCTATAGGAGACTCAGTTAAAAAAAAAAAAAAAAACCTCAGATAAACAGGAATTGGAAAACAAACAAGAGAAAAAAAAGATATTAAATGCATATGTACATGAAATAAATGATAAGAAATGCTTTGATTCAAGACTCCTGAAAATATAAGAACATTCATATCTGAACATATTTCAAAGGATTGCATCAAACACAGTATTTAAAAAATACAGTCGCATCTTTACAATTCATTCTACTAGTTCTGAAATATACATCAGGGCTGCCATTAGAAATGTTAGGTCCCCTTACACAGCTCAAAGTCTGGGCCCAGGGCCTGCTACCAAGGCAGTGTGTGAGTGTAGAATGTATGCTCTGAGTTTATAGTTGATGTAGAGTGTGGGTGGGTGTGTGTGTATAGTGATGCAGAGAGTTTGTGTATAGTGGATGCAGTCTTTGTGTGTGTATGGTGGATGCAATATATGCATAGTGGATGCAGTGTTTGTGTGTAGTGTATGCAGTGTGTATATAATGGATGCAAAGAGTGTGTGCAATGGATATATTGTGTATGTGTAGCGGATGCAGAGTGTGTATAGTAAATACAGTGTGTGTGTGCGTAGTGGATGCAGAGGGTTAATTGATGAAGTGTGTGTAGTGGATGCAGAGTGTGCAGTGAGTTGGCTGCGAAGGATGCTACTGGATCGAATATAGTTGGGCTTGATAGGGGATAACCCAGAGTAGAATATGTTAGGAAAAATGAATTTGCCCAAGTGTGATGATCGAAAAAATAAATTTGTAGAAAGAAAAAAATTCAACATAAAATGTAACATTTAATAAGAGTAGGTCATAGTAGTGTGTGTAGTGAATGCAATGTGTGCAGTTTATTCATTGTGTGTGTGTTTGTAAATATTTGGGGTAGGATAGGTACTGTATTCTGTGGGCAAAAAGCTTTTAATTTTTTTTTTTTTATTAAAACAAATATATTTAGATTCTATTTCCTCTTCTCAGCCGCTTACCTGTGGCCAGGGAGGGAGGGCATTGCACTACTTGGTAGTCCAGTGGCATTGTGCAGGCTGCAAGTTGCATACATAGTGAAGAGGGGGCCCAGCACATATGATCCTTTCTAGCTGCTCTTCTCTGTCTCCCTCGCTCGAGCCCAGCCTGCACATTCGCGGAGCGTTGCCATGGTAACACGTG